TTCCATGGTCTCAATGAAATCAAAGTAGCTGTTGGGGAACTTTGTAATGAGATAACAGTTGTTCCAGAACTCTGGCAGAAGGTTTCTGTAATCCTTCTAGTTTTCCAAGTAAAAGCGGCTTCCGCGTGCGGTTGGGTAAGACAGTGTGAAGTCCACCAACTTGGTAGAAAGTAAAGTTTTACTAGTTCAATAAACCTTTATAATGATCGAAGGTGATAACTAAGAAATGGAACGAAGAATAGTTTCAACGGTATGTGCACCGTCCGGATTATGCAGGTGGTTAATGGAACCAACCCACTGGCTTGGAATGTCATTCACAGAAATACTTCAGCACTTAGTCAGATAGATTTCATTGCAACCGAGTAACTAACCCACCCCTTGTTGAAAACCATTCAGGGGTAGTAAATTAATAGCTTGGATCAATTTTCATCAGTTTCTTTTCGACAAAAAATTAAAACATCGAAATATATTCCCGATTCGATGAAAAACAAAGCTTTTGAAAATGAAGACGAGTGAGCCTCATGACATACATTTCACACGTGTCCTATTATTTCATCCAAATGGGTGTGTAAAAGACAGTAACTAAAACTGTCACAAAATTGTTTGATCAATATTCGTATGAACAGAAATTGTATGGGATAGAGGTAGCGCCTATTTCACTACTTTAATCTCCATCATTTACCCAACTCCCATACACGGCTCCAAGGAGCTAAAGATGTATAGGAGATCAAAACCCGTTTTAAATGCTGGCTTAACCTGTTTAACGGTAAACAAAGCCAAAATTTTGCGATTAAACGATGAAATCAGCTAGTTTTTAGTGAGCAAACGAGATCTATAGTTTAGTCCAGAAGCTGTAAATACAATACATCCGACTCTCAGGGCTGCATCGATCACTGGATTACATCTTCATCTCTGGAATGGAGGATAAGCTCCTAAGGGAACGTCATCAGCCAGGAATCAAAGTACTGCCACCTTTAAACCCGCATTTGGTTGTAACAAGACTAGAGACTATACTCTCAAGAAGAAAGCAGAGCGGTACTGGAGAAGTTTTCTGTATGAAACTCTTTTGAAAGGTCATGAAACTGGCTTGTCTCATGCAATCAACCAACGTTAAGTGGGGTGAAAGTTGTTACATCTTCATTGTAGCATAACAATTATCGAATCTACCAGGTTATATCCATTGTGATTTAAACCCGATACCCCAGCCGAGAACTTGCGTGTTAAAATCACCGGTGAGGGCAACTATATCGGAGCTTCGGCTCAACCGAATGAGTTCGGTGCGTTTATCATAGAGCTCGTCTTTTCGTGCGTCAAAACTGCAGTTGATCGGTGCATACGATGAAATAAACAAACAGCTTTTGGCTTTGCTTCCCTTTCGGACGATGATAGGCCCTCGGAGCCGCACCGCGAATAAACGACTGTTGACGGGTATTCAATCGATTAGTGCAGAGTCCTCACATCGAAGGCCCCCAGTTTGAGTGATTGACGAGGCTTCACTATCTGCAGTGAATTTAGTGTTAAATTACTAACCACGCTATTCGTCAACGAACTTTGGCGAGTGATGAACAATTTGTCTGAGAGAATATTACGGGTCGGAAGAAGAGGTAGAGGGAGAGGGTTGGGTACGGGAGACAAAGAATTAAACAAAGGTTGGGATGTTTGCTTAGTAGTCCACTTATCATTACCCACCCCGCTCGATGCAATGGGCAGCGCCATCCTGATTATCCTGCACGACGACCAATGCAGTATGGAATTATTTATAGTTTGTGTATGCATTAGAGTTTGATGGACGGGTACTGCCAGGGTGTCCAGCCACCAAACAGGCGAACGATTAGGGTTCTCGTCCAAAGCCTTTAATTCTAACGAGAACCTGACCGCAAGGCAGCAGGTAAAGCGAAGTAGAGGCCTATTTAGTTGGATCGATTACTCTATCGTTTTACCGACCGAGACGATAACTGGAGTCGCACCCTCAACCCATAAGACCAAGAGACTGTAATTTGCCTGACGTCTACCGTCTGACGTTCCAGGCACGATAAGATCTAGCCTGATAAAGCCATCCTGCGTAGCTCGTTGTGTCATAGAGGTGTACATTCCATCATCACGTCAAAGTGCAATATTTTTCTGTTGGCTCAGGACGTACGGCAACATGGTTTTCTATTTCCTCGGCAAAGTTAATTCCCATCGACCACATAGCTGTAATCTACCGTTAGCGAGGGTCAGTACAAAATTGTAGATCCTATTAGACCACCTGGTTTGAGTATAATCGCACACTAGTTATGGTGCGCTTCACGCTTCGACTCTTCGGCATAAATCGCAGCCTCGGTTATCTCACCATTGTCTGCTTGACCCAGCTGTGCATTCGGCAGCAAACTTTCCCTGTGGACTCAGGTCAGACATCTGTTGAAGACAAGAAATCTCTCAGGAGTCATCGTAATCAGTAATCCTGGTAAAAAAAGCAAGTGTTCAATCTGCCAGAATCAACATAGGCGTAAGTGGTGTTTGTAACATCAGTCCAGCTAAAGACTCAGGAAATATCGTGAAAACTGATGCGTCAAAATGACTAGTGAAATGGAATTGGCCACTGCATCTGGGAATAGTAATGTATTGTATGATGCGCAGCACAGGTCGTCGCAAACCTGTTGCTAATGCAGTTATTCCGGCTTTTTAACCTTTCCAACAATTGGCGAGGTCTTGCTATTACTTCGATGTAGTATGTCTCAATGCATCTGCTGGGGAGTCCTACTCGTTGCCTTTTCATGGTCCGCGTGTTTTCACTGAGAAGATTGGGTGGAAAGCCAATATCCGGGGTTATAGGCAAGCTCATTTATGGGAGCTGGAACACCCTGATTTCAAAGTTCAGAAACAGAAACAGGCGCATAAACTGGTTCCTGGAAATCCTCGTCATAATAGTCAGCAACTCGGTCATGTGATACGGTGCACTGGAAGTACGAATTACCCGAAGCGCGCGGATTCCAACGTGTCGGACGCAGGATCCTGATGGATAGCGCTTGTAGTACACCATCCCACTGCCTTGCAGGCCAGACTTTGGATAGCCGAAAGCTCCGGGTGTGCCTTCGGGGAAGATTATGTATTTATGTATTTTACACCGGCTTGAGAACAAGAATGGTTCCAATGCAAAACAATGATAATGAAGTTATGGAGGGGTACAGAAAGATTAAATGAAAATGGGGAAAACGGAAAACACGGAGAACGAATGAATAAATTATTTCTTTTTATAGTTTCATCTTACACTTTTTGAAGATCTTTTGTGTTACGGGGAACGGGGTTTCGCCAAACAAACCGCACAGTGATCGCGCTACATCTATTTTGAGCCATATCTCCCAGCGTCTCTAGCCATCAGCAGTCCTCATCCTTTGGTCCCCAGCCTGAAAGGCGAGCTGCATCAAGCTAAACCAATGCTGAGGCTAACTTATTCATACATCTACGCTATGTCATGGTCTGACCGCTGCGAAGCTTCTACCAACCTTGCCCAGCACGTGCAAAGAGAACACGGTGAGGTAATCGATGGGCAGGCATACGCGAAACATGACCGAGCCATCGGAGGCGGTGTACAACGATATCTTGTGCTAGAAAACGACTATCAGTGCCCAGCACACGACGACCACCAGACACGAGCAATGATTCGAAGGCATCGGTGGTCAAATACGGAAAGTCAATCAGCATCCTTCGCTCGGAGGGGCCATAAAGCAGAACACTACGGACCGCGGCGATGTACACCCTTCCTTTAAGAGACAGTCAGATGTCATGGCGGCGCCACAGGTGTCGCAGGTTGGCGAAATCTACTCTGGCTTTCGCTATTCGTGATGTGATCTCTTACTCAACTCCACCTCCCTCTGTGATTAAGCTCCCGAGGTACTTAAAGTTCTCCAACATTTCCATCTGATCGCCAGAAATAGTAAATGCAGGCACAGGCTCCTGCCAGTCTTGAACCAGCACTTTGATGGTGCAAAGCACAGATCATATCTGGATACCTCTATCGCCAGGTGGTTTAAAGCTTGTTTGATGCCTGTGCATTGTCACCTCATGGAAGATTCCTCTGCTTTCGTCTGAGAAAACTAACCGCATTCCACTCATGGGCAAACTCTGCACCGATTTCAGTTATAATGATTGTTATCTCGTGGTTTTTCGCGCACAGCCTGTACTAAGACATGTGAACTGGAGGATAGTAAAATCGCATATGGGCCTATTCTAGTCTTATTTGGTTTGCTGTTCTAAGCCTCGGAATTCGGGTTTTCACGAATTAGAGGTCCATTACTTTCACTGTTGATCACACTGAAGCATATAATAAAAGATAGTTTGGTAAATCAGTTCAGATAGAATATATGCGCGACTGTGTCATCATCATTGTTATCGTGCAGCTAAATTCAGAGAAGCGCACTTCACTGATCGCTGCCAAACTCGCAATGCATATGCACTGAGGTTTGATGGACAGGTACTGCTAGCGTATCCAGCCACTAAGCAGGAGAACGATTAGGGTTCTTAACCAAAGCCTTTAGTTCTTACAAGAACCTAGTCGCAAGGCAGCGAGTGAAGCGAATTGGAAGCCCATTTACTTGAATCAATTACTCCTCCACTATTCCTTACCGACTGAAGAGCAAATTCTAGTCAAACCCCCAACCTGGAGGGCTAGGAGACTGGACTTTGTCCGACCTCTACCATTTGACCTTCCAGACATGATTAGATCTTCGGCTTGACAAAAGCCATCCTTTTAGCTGGTCGGGTCAGAGAGGTGCACAAGCCATCACACCACGCCAAGTTGCAGTCTCGTCGTGATGGCTTCGGTTCTGTGGCAGCTACTAATCAAAGCATAACCACCCACTCCGACAATATATTAAAAATGTTTTGCAATAACTGTTATAACTCTAAAAGTAAATATCTAATTGGTTAATTGTTTGTCTGTATATAAGGTTTGCTTTTCGGTTTTTATCTGTTATGTATTTATGTTCTATCTAGCCAAGTAGTTCAATCTGTGCTTCGGTATGGATCCAGAAAAGTTCGTTGAAATTCAGAAGCAAATGCGAGAGAACAATCAAGAGGTTGCCGATTTCCTCAGTGATCTCGATTCTTGGAAAAAGCAAGTTGAATGTCAAAATGCTCGTCTTCAAAGCGAAAAAGAAAACACATCGTTACCGGCAATCAGAAACAGTTTATTTAAGAAACAAAAGAAGGTAAGTTGCGCTTTGCCCCAAGCGTTGTATTAGATTTAGAAGCGCCATGGCGATGAGTCTGTTGGATCAAACAAGACAGTTCACCAACGCATTCGCGGCTCAGATTACAGAGCTTGGGACAAATTTGATGTTGATAAGGCACTAGAAGAAGTGGATAAGCCTGACCAGGACAAAGAGGTGAATGAGGATGGTGAAACGAGCGAAACGGATGATGAAATGGAGGATCGTCGCCGACTAAGTTTGGCTAAAGAAGCTCGAGAGTTGGGAAATTTACGTTTTAAAGTAAGGAGCTTTCGGTCATTTTCTTTCATATTTTTTGGAACATGTTAAACAAAAGGTTTTGAGTGGATGGCTTCTTTCAAAGGTAATTCGATTTCAAACTGTAGGTCGACCTCAAACCTGTTGGTTGAGGTGAAAAAAGTAGAGTAGATGCTAGATAGTAGCATCTAACCGACTTACAAAACATCGAATCATAGCATTGATTCTTTATTGGACTGGCTCTGAAAGAACTGCCTATCCAATGGTCACCCGATGTTTCAAACAAGGTTATTGTGAC